AAGGTCTTTGCAAAAGATCCAAATGCCAAGAGATAGTAAACCAACTCCAGTTTTCATAGATACTGCTCCAGCACAAAGAAACCCAACTCCTACTGGTAATAAGCAGATTCCAGTGGCCAAAGAACTAGTCCGCTCCAATCGAGCAAAAATATGTGAACTACATTCTAAGAAGCGTGTGCGTATCCTCGCATCATAAAATTTTATAGCATGCTGATCGTATTTTCTACATGTTTCTTACCCATCTCTCTTTTAGAAAATAAGCTTAACAGACAGAAGAATTTCTGCACTCGTATCGTCTTGAGGAAAGTATCTTGCGGGAATTCTCTGTGCTCCAATGCTGATGTAAGTACCTGTTGTATATCACTATATTTTTACATCAATGTGTATTTTGTTAATCGGCATGAATCCAACCTTTATCTGATCTAAATTTAGTTGTAGCAAAATGTATAATTAAAGGTGACAATGTTGATCTTTGTAAGGAAAATTGCTTGGTAGTTTTGCATACTGAGCTACATGAGTGTACTATCTCATATCATGCACATTACTGAACTGCAGTGCTACTCTGGTTGCCCATTCATTCATTGTGTCAATGTTGCTTTCGTATTACCTTACCTGGCTGATGATAGATGTGCCATATTGTGTTAATTTGGTCTAGGCCGGTGTGCTCTGGTTGCCCAAACGTTCGTTGTGTCAATATTGCTTTCCTATTATCTGACATGGCCAATGATAGCAATGCTAGTGTGTTAATTTGGTGCAGGCTGCTGAAGATAAGAAGACAAACTCTAAAAGCAGCAAGGCAACCCCATTGTTTCCTTCCAATAAATCTAGGCCAGGTAATATGGAAATAACTCTTGATTAATCTGTTCGGTTCCCGTCCTAATTTATGTTATGATGCAGTGGTTGAGACACTCTCCACTATCAATAATACAAGCCTACCAAAATCGCCATCTGAATCTGCTCACCTTTGTCTCGAATGCAACGGAAAAGATGTATGTTTGTGAACCAATTACTGGCTAAAGCAATGATGGAAATCGTGGAGAAATCAGAGGTGCACATTCTTGCGCAACAACAACAACTGATCAATTTTTCATAGATAGTGTAGCAAAGAAGGAAGAACTTGCTCACATGCTTATGGGCGTCATCCGCGCTGAGGTTGCAGTTGTAGATCGTTAGGTTCTGTTCATTTATTTGCACTGGCATCAATCTTTGATTGGCCAGTGGATGTAATTTCCTGTAATATATGCTGGATGTGCAACATTTTTCCTTGTATGTCGTACCTTTGCTTAGCGTGCCTCGCATTCCAGCTAACTGGTCGCTACGAAGCTAAAAAAGTAGTGAAATTAATAGTTAGCACGAACAGTCATGGGCCCTATATGAAGGAAGCAGCCCACTGCCCTTAATGGGCTACCCTAATGGGCTCTCAGGGGCCAAAATTCTCCCTATGCATAATTGCTCGTCATAATGGGCTCAAATTATCTAATTGGGCCTACAGACATGTTCGAACTTTAGTGGGTCCATTAAGTTAATGGGCCGTAACCAGGCCGAAAGCTCTATCGAGCGGACAGTTAATGCTCGGCCCTGTTACCTCCCGGGTCATTAACGGGCCGACATCGAATCGGGCAATAGGTGGGCCCATTTGATTTCACGGGTCGTTAACAGGCCGATACTAAGGTCGGCCTACATATGGCCCAACTATACTGTGGGCCTTTAGCAGGCCGAAAGAGAAAGCGGGATCGTACTGGACCATGAAGAGCATGGGCTGCTAAGAGGCCGAAAGTCAGGTCGTACTGTATATGGCCCAACTGTTTTGTGGGCCTTTAGCAGGCCGAAAGAGAAATCGGGCTGGTTTTGGACCATGAAGAGCATGGCCCCTTAAAAGGCCAAAACTCAGGGTCCGACTGCAAGTGGCCCAGCTCATTCATGGGCCGCTAACAGGCTGGAAGACACACCGGGCCGAAAATTGGCCAACCACTTAAATGGGTTGCTAAAAGGCCGAAAGTCGTACATCTTAAAAATTGGCCCATCCCTTGGATGGGCTGTTAACAGGTCGAAACCACATCGGGCCGATATTGAGCCCAAATATATAGCGGGCTGTTAACGGGCTCGAACTGACGATGGGCTACAATGGTGTCAAATCGTTAACGGGCCGAATTGGCACTTCTTGTATGGGTCGTGGGCTTAAATGGACCCCACACAAGTAGGCCTTATATGGACCGGCCTGCTAATTTTTACTGGGCCGGCCTTTTTCACTAGAATGGGCCACTGGTGGGCCTTGCCACGTGCCGACGTATCATAAGCGCCTCCCGTACTATGAGTGGATGACATCTGTCCCAACGCTGAGCCGACACGTGGATCCTCCGGCGAATGAGAATTTTACACGTGGAAATCCCCATTGGTCGGGGCTATTAACGGGTTATCGGATCCAAACCGGAACCCGGTAGCTTAACGGCAACCCGTTATGGTGGATGTCACGTGTCGGCCATCCTTGACGAAAGCACTTCTATGACGCACGATTTATCATCATGGATGTGGACACTTCCGTGATGATAGTTTTGGTAATGTCATGGAATACTTCTACGACAGCACATGTATGAGTATCTTGATTCTATCATAAAATCGCCATGGGTGTACATGCATGACAAAAAACGTGACCTACTATGGCAAACACGTATCATCACGGAAGTGTATTTTTTTGTAGTGATAAGCGCCACGCTGGAAAATTAGTGCTTTTTTCGCCCGTGCGCTACCGCTCCGAGCGCTCCAGCGGAGGAGCAGAAACCGCGCGTGCGGCATAACTAGTTCAGCGCGGGGGCCGAAAGGCCACCGCGCGCCGTTTATTTGCTGTGCCCGCTCCCGCGCGCTGGACACTCGAGCGCCCGCTCACAACCTTCCACCTACCCCCATCCAGCCGTTGGCACCGCCACTGCCTGCGCCACCCCATTTGTTCCAGCGACCGTTCCGGCGCTGTCCCGGTGTATCCCCGCGCCACCGCTGCTTCCTCCGTCTCCCTCTAGTCACCGCCGCCCCTCGCACGCGGCATTCCTCCGACGAACAACGCCTGGCCGCCCACTACCGCCCAGCGCCCGCAAGGTGTTCGACAAAACGCTTGCAAGGTATGCATTGCTTCAACTTCACATTTTTTTACATGAATTTGGTGCATGTTGTTTGTAGTTTTTGTTTTTATAGCCTGGTTTAAATTGAACATTGTAGATGAGTTCGTGATATGATTCTTCCGAAGAAGAATTTGATATTGAAGAGGAGGAGGATCTTGTAATGATCCTAGCTATGCACATCAATAAAAAACCGAACCACGGTGGTTTGGTTATGGGTCGGCAAAAAATTTGGAGGGATAGGATCGATGCCCACAACAGATTGATCATGCACTATTTTGCGGATCCTCCCGTGAACCTCGAGTCGTACTTCCGGCGTCGGTTTAGGATGAGCACCGAGTTGTTCAGGCGCATTGCAGAGAAACTAGCGAGCCATGACCGGTTTTTTCAGCAAAGGAGGAATGCCGCCGGAGAGCTCGGGCATAGCACCTTTCAGAAGGTGACAGCTGTTTTGCGTATGTTAGCATACGGTATCCCCGCTGATCTAGTTGATGATCACTTGGCCATGGGTGAGAGTCAAGCGATCATGTGTGCCAAGCTCTTTGCAATCGAAATTGTGCAAGTGTATGGCCAGGAGTATTTGAGATCTCCCAATGTCGAAGACGCCGCACGGCTATTGGAGATGAACAAAGCTCGCGGCTTCCCAGATATGCTTGGCTCAATAGATTGCATGCATTGGAGTTAAAAGAATTGTCCTAAGGCATGGCATGGCCAATTCCATGGCCAAAAAAAAGGTTCCACTATAATCCTTGAAGCGGTGGCCGATCAAGAGACTTGGATTTGGCATGCTTTTTTGAAATGCCTGGATTTTTGAATGACATCAACGTTGTTAATCGGTCACCACTAATGAATAAGATTGCAAATGGTGAAATGTCACCGGTGCAGTTTGTAGCAAATGGTTGTACATACAACCATGGCTACTATCTTATGGATGACATCTACCCAAAGTGGCAAACATTTGTGAAACCGTTGGAAAATCCGGAAGGTAAGAAAAATCTTGATTTCCACAATGCTCAGACGGCGGCTAGAAAAGATATGGAGAGAGCTTTTGAGATTTTGCAGGTCCAATTTGCTATTATGAGAGGACCGGCTAGATTTTGGGATCAAAAGATGCTTTGATACATCATGTACGCTTGTGTGATCATGCACAACATGATCATCGAGAATGAGCATGGTCAAAATGTAGACTACTCTTAGTATGAGCTCTTGGGACATCTCGTGCGAGTGCAGCGGAGGGCTGCCAGGGTGGCCCGTTTTGTTGCCTCATATCATGTCATTCGACGTGCCGAAACGCATGATGATCTTCAGAAGGATCTCATCGAGGAGTGATGGACATGGAATGACCAACAAAGAGCATCATGATTTGTGCTTTTGATGTTGTATTGTTGAACTATTTGTTGTATTGAAAGATAAATTATTTGTTTGAGCTGTAATAACGAAATTGAACTATTTATTGTTGATTTATTTTGTTTGTATTTGATCTTCTTGGTTGTGTTTGAAGTGCATATGTTGTTTGTGCGAGAGCGCGCGCGTAATATTTTTGCAGCTCCTGCTGGAGCTACTCATGCGCGCTAAAGTTTACAACGGACGCTGAAGCCAGTTCTCCGTGCCGCACAAAAACAGACGATCTGCAAACGCTTTTTAGCGTGCCTGGCGTTAGACGGCTGTCGGAGATGCTCTGTCAGTGGATAGTGGCCATGGACCCACCCGTCAATCTCGGGGGCAAATTATCAAAGTTAAAGTGGTGCAAAAGATTTTGGCACAGCCGCGTCGCGTCGGGCTCGCACCCTGTCCCAGATCACGATTTGCCACCGCGAATCCGCGACCACCAGCAGCTGCAACTTCGTCCTCGCGTAGCTCGAATCTTATCCCGCTTTATTATCTGCAGCCATGGCTGCGGCCAGCTTCCTCCTAAGCCCCAGGGTGACGCTGCCCCTGCGCCGAGGATCCCGCCTCCTCGTGTCCTGCTCCGCCACTTCGTCATCCTCCTCGTCAGGTGTCGGCTCCCTTCTTCGGTTCCAACATACAACGGGAAACGCAGCTGTGTATGTAATGTAATTGAAAGATTCAATGTAGTACTGGTAGTACTTATCAGATTCTTCTTGCCTCGCAGATGCTGCTGGAGGGGTGGGATTCCAGGGAAGGGTGGGGTTCTTGGGCCTCGGGATCATGGGCGCCCCCATGGCATCAAACCTCATAAAGGCTGGGTGATTCCCTGCACTTCTACTTCTGTCTCTCTTCCTTCTTTTCCCTTTTGTTGTTACTAGGAGATACGGTTTTACTTCGGTGCCTTGTCTTCTTATCTTGGATTTTTATAAATTTTTCATCGTATTAAGTACTGCCTCCGTCCGAAAATACTTATTGGAGGAATGAATGTATCTAGACGTATTTTAGTTCTAGATACATCCATTTTATCCATTTCTCCCACAAGCATTTCTGGACGGGGGAGTAGTTAGTAGTTTGACTGATATTACAGTTTGGTGATCTGCAGTTGTGATATTACAGTTTGGAACAGAACCAAGAGCAAGTGTGATCCTCTTCTCAGCCTCGGTGCCAAGTATGCTCCACATCAACTCAATTGTGATTTATAACCATCTTCTACTTATCAAATGTGTGCCATTTCCAAAACAACTTACCTGAGGGACCGTCTGTAGCTTGTGGATTCCGGACGAAACCACACCACCTCATTTTTTTCGATAAAGGACGCTTTTATTATCTTAAAATGTAGCATCAAAGGGATACAAAGCATTAAGAGTATCACCCGGCCTCTGCATAATTAGGATGCACACAGCCAAAACTAGTAGTCTGATAAACAAAAAGATAAAAGACCGACAATTCGACATCAGTAGAGTCCATAGACCGACACTATGCCTATGTCGAAAGAGATGGTGGACCAATCCGGAGATTATGCTGCCACCCATGTTAGAAAAAAACCTCCGTAGCCACCTGCTCCAACAGCGTACACACCGCCTTGAACAACGGTTGGGACTCCGCTCGTTGTAGCGTACACCACGTACGAAGCAAGTGCGTACAACGGAAAATAACCTGCAAAGGAGAAACACTTTTGTCATTAAAAACAACATCATTTCTACATAGCCAAAGCGACCATAGTAAGGCATACGCTCCAACCCTTATTAGCGTTTTGTACCTATTTGAAATACCGTCCAACCAATGACTAAAAATATTGGCAACACTTGTGGGCGGATACAAATTTGACGCTATTTGGATGGCTGACCACGTAGAACGCGCAAACTTACATTGGAAAAAGAGGTGTTTAATTGTCTCATCATGAGTACAAAAACAATACTTCTTACTTTCGGACCAGTTGCGTCGTGCGAGGTTGTCTTTTGTTAGCACAACTCCCCTACGGAGATACCACATGAATATTTTAACTTTAAGTGGTACCTTCGCTTTCCAATTTTTTTTGTTATTATTCATCTGTACCTCAGGATGCGTGAGTGCACGATACATAGAGTCTACTGTGAAAGACCCCGATGTAGTAAGGTTCCAACGAAACACATCACGACCTTGTGTCAGGTTAATCGAATCCAGACGGGACAACAGATTATTCCATAACATTAGTCGGGTGCCAATCAAATCCCGCCTCAACGAAATATTTGGCGGGGATGAGCTGAGCACTTGAGCAAATAGTATTATTCTTATCGCGTGCAATATTGTATAAGGCTAGGTATTGTTCTCGGAGACTAGCATTGCCTAGCCAGATGTCTTCCCAAAAACGAATCTCCGACCCGTCCTTTATCGCGAAAGACCCAAAGCGAAAGAGATGTTTCTTTGTCGCCATTAGGCCAGCACAAAAGTGTGAGTCTCCAGGTTTCCAAAACTATAAAACTCTCACAAGTTCACTAGTAAACACAACTACGTTTTTTTCTCTGATGACTACCTTGTTCTGCTCTACTTTATTTTGAAAAGATTATATTTTTCAAAAATCTTCTACTGTACATCTAGATAGCTAGCCCCCACTAATCTATTTCTCTCAACATGCAAGCATGTCACCTCATCATGTAACATGCATGGGAAAAGGCCCGCTCAACATGCAAACATGCATAAGAATTTCCATTCTGTTATGCTATTTATATTTAATAAATACTCCCTCCATCCCAAAATAAGAGTCGCTGATTTAGTACAAAGTTTTACTAAATCAATGACACTTACTTTGGGACCGAGGGAGTATTTTACAACTATACAGTAATCAAACATAATAAATCATATGTATTTTCATTTTATAGTTATCATATTATTGCCCCAAATATCCATGTATCATATAATCAAATATATTACAAAACATTCCAGCTACAGCATGTGGTGTATCATAGTTCTGCTAAAAACTGTTCCCACTTGAAAGAGACCAAAGATTATGTTCTGAATGGTTGTAGTCTATTAGATAGTTTCATGTTGTTGATATTGATCAAATTTAAGAGACAGTATTGCGTGTAACAAAAGATGTACGCAACACTCCGCTTGATTGATTCTCTCATACAAGAGGATGGCTCCCTACAGGTTCGAATCTTCACCCGCCAGAGTTGCATCATCTTGTGATGTCACCTTTGCAATGCTTGCTGACCCAGAAAGCGCGGTATAAGTTTCGTTTCAGCATTCCAATTGTCATTTCTTTTATTCATGAAGTCTCAGCATATGACATTTCTAATCATGTCCATAAACGATTTATTCCAAAGTTTGAGGTTGCATGCGGCGCTAATGGAGCCGCAGAAGGGATGGCCGCAGGGAAAGGGTAAGTGGTACTAATTGCTCTCAAGAAAAAGGGTCAGAAATTCCAGAGCATTTGCAGAAGAGCAGAAGTAGACCTTGAAAACATCATATTTTCTCTTGCTTGTCCGTCATAGGTATGTCGATGTTTCGATCATATTTGTCTTGCTTGTCTGCCGTAGGTATGTCGATGTGTCGACAGTCGATGATGCAACATCTAAGCTAATCGGCAAACGTATTACAAGTACTGGGGCATCTTTTCTCGAGGTAGTTTTTGGTCCATGTCATTGCTTGTACTCTTGTTGTATCGAATTGTTGATTTTGTTGTCTGGATGTGTAACTAGCGACGTAATTTCAGTGCTTCTACTCTTGGTCCAATGCTTACTTGATGATTTTTCAGTAGGCTCCAGTTTCAGGCTCAAAAAAGCCAGCAGAAGATGGACTGCTGATCTTTCTTACTGCAGGTAAACTTGTTTCTTCATGCTTGGTCATTGAGAAAATCCAGTAGTTAAATCTCCTTTCTCTTCTGACACCTTAAATTGTTGATATCATTGATTGCACAAGGTGATGAATCCTTGTACAAGAGAGTGGCACCCCTACTTGATGTCATGGGCAAGGTTAACATCTCTAATCAGAAAGAGGCACTTGAATAAGAAAATTAGTTGCATGTTGATAAGAGAATGTGCTTACATTTTCCGTACTCTGAAAGCAGTCAAGATTTTATCTTGGGGATGTCGGGAATGGCGCAGCAATGAAGCTCGTGGTTAATATGGTGATGGGGAGGTAAAGTGGAACCTCATTTATGTAGATCCTATGTATGGTCATGGAGATTATCAAATCTTAGGTTTCACTGATCCTTGCGGTGAAACACTGCAGCATGATGGTCTCATTTGCAGAAGGGCTACTCCTGAGTGAAAAAGTGGGGTTAGACTCGAATACTGTCGTCGAGGTAGCTTTACGGAAACAAGTATAATACTCTAACCTGCAATATGTCAAGAGAGTTTTTCATCTAACCCAGGGTGCACTGGTCGTCCAACAGGTTATTTCACAAGGTGCTATCAATGCTCCCATGTTCTCCCTCAAGGGCCCTTCCATGGTTAAAGCTGCATACCCTACTGCCTTTCCCCTGAAACATCAGCAGAAGGTAAGCAGAGCACTGAAAAAGAAAGCTGCATGTTGCACCTCGTCTTAATCTGATGCTAAGAAGAAACGCCTGACAGGATCTAAGGCTGGCGCTGGCCCTGGCAGAATCGGTGTCCCAGCCCATTCCTACAGCTGCAGCTGCAAACGAGCTGTACAAGGTAGCAAAATCGCTGGGCCTCGCCGACCACGACTTCTCCGCAGTCATCGAGGCGCTCAAGGCCAAAGTGCAGAGCTCGCAGCACTAGATATTGTTTCTTCAGCCGGCCAAGTTTGAGTGTGGCATTCAAATGTATTCGCCCATCTCGTCTCTTTTGCAGACATATAAATGTGCTTGTTTTGCGCAAATATATATATATATATAAATGTGCTTGTTTTACAGGCAGAGTGTATACAGCAATGTAAAATGAATATATACAGAATATCAACCCATGCAAAGGGGGAAAGGGTATCGATATTTTTGGTATGTGTGTAATTAAGTTTGGTTATCGCAGTCAGCTGTTAGAAATGGTAAAGATAACCTAGCAAATTTATGGTCCCAACCCAACTATCTGACCAACCGTGACCACTTCTCAAAAAAATAACAACGGTGTGTATGTGTGTATGTGATGTGTA